TGACTGATGCTGAGAATACAGTTTAGGGTTCCAACGCCAACAAAATTTGTTAATAAGATTAATTATTACAGTCAAAACCGATTCGAGTCCTAATCAAAATTTTTTCTAAGTGATTCTTCAACATCGGGGAAATATTTCTCACGCAAAATATTTCACTTGAATAAGCCGATGAGGCAGCGCATCGTTTTGGTGCACAATGTTCAGAGATAATCGGTACGTTTCTGTATTTAGATATTAGATACTCAAAGCGTGTGAATGTAAACAAATGAAGATAGTTCCTGATAACAGATAACAAAACCTCTAGGTCGGCTTTCTGTAAATATTTCCACATTAACGGGCGTATATTTTCCTCGTCAGAAGCAACAGACTGTTCTCGATAGTTCAAGATTTACCTGTTCAAGATTCAAGAATGGACTGTTCAAGAGTACCAAAACAAGTTACCTCTAAATTTTATCGATGTTTAAATTTATCATCGGCCATTCAATGACCGTCGCTCGTTCTTACGTAATCCATCTACAATTTCCATGAAGGTTCTTAGAATTGAGCGTCAGACTGGGTCGTTGAGGCAGAGGTGGTAATTCATTCAGTGGCATGCGACTTAGAGGCTCCTCAATCCTCTGATTTACACCACAAGAGTCTGTCCTTTTGAAGGTCTTTGCTTTACAATCCTCTTTGTTAAGACGGCGCACTCAGGACAGGTGTTAATGAGCTAAAGACGTCCGAGGATGCGGACCACGAATATCCATCTAATAGGCTTAACAACGCAACCAATACAGCCATGCTGCTTTTATTTCCCTTCCATAAACCTGAGGGTTGATTTTGTGATGTTCGCTGATCAGGTTGGTTTTTAGTTTGTTATAAAATACGTATACGCAGATTTATCGAGTAAAGTCTTTATTTTCCAAGAAAATAATTGAATATCGTGAAATATGTGACATTAAATTGAAACAGAATAATTTTAGATTTTTATTGGATATATTCCTAGAAATAATTAACAATTTCACTTTCTAGCAAGAAATAAAAAATAAGAATAGGAAACATTATCAAATAAGTTGAATTTTATCATTGAAATTTTACGGTGAGAAGAAAAGCCTCAACATTTGAATACAATTCTCTTATTTGTCTAAAAATAATCCAAAAATTGTTGAACCGATTCTGTGACATCACTAGCTCATAGCATAAACAATTTCATGTTTTGTTTTTCTAGTTTAATTTATTATATTAAATAAATATCCAGCTTCAGAGGAACAAAATAAACATTTTTAACATGCCTATAAATATAAGTTGATGCCAAATTAAACATCCAATGGCAAATCCTCATGTGCGGCAGAAAGTTAAGTTAAATCAAGCCACGGTTTTGGAAGCTGGCTCCTAATGGACTGAACAATGCCGGCTGCTTTAGAGTATAACTCACAATGGAAACTCCAGCCTTCGTCATTTCTCAGTTGGGAATAAAACACGCTCTTAAAAAATGACTACACTACACATAAAAGAGTTTAAGCTCTGGACATTGGACCGATGACTTAACAGTTACTCTGAAATTCTTCATCGAATCATTAATTGAGGTGTCAGTTTACTTGTTGAGAATGAATGATTATTAAATAGACGAAATGATTGAGAAATTCTACAAGTGTTAATGGGTTGCGTATTTATAAATGGAACAGAGGAGGGAAAATATAATTCTTGAAATTAAAAACAAGGGCTGACATATTTGTATTCGGAGGGACTATACAATGTATTCATGTTTTCAGGGCTTCTTGTTCAGACGCCGACCGTTCCAATCCTAGTTTGATGACATTATTACTCGGGGATGGTTTGAACCCTTCTTTTTATGAACGTTTAGGGTTCTTTCCTTTATTGACGTCTTGAGGCTCCGATGACACATCAGAATTTACCTGTTCATCGAGGCGGCCAGAGTTAAAAAAAGACGATCCGAACTTGAAGCAGGGTTTACAATCGTCGTTTTAGCATATAATGCGTAAAATTAACGGTCTTCCATAAGATTTTATTGTGGAATAGAATCAATGACTGCATAATACTAAAATATCAGCATAAATTAAACCCTGAGCATAAAATTTATTGATTGACCAAAAAATTTTTTCTTTATTCGGGTTATTGTTTCTGAAAAAAAGTTCAACAAGAATGTCATTATTCTGATAATTCATATTGTAAGCTAATGAGCCCTGAATCTCAAAGAGTTTCTTTCTCCTAAAAATTTCAATGGAAAAGTTTTATCGCCAAATTTTCAAGCTTGAATCATGACATCCGTGATGACTCAAACTCTTCACTAAAATGCATTTGCATTCACAAATAAACTACAACATTTTAGGATTAGGAAGGCTACTTAACAGCAACAATTTTCGCGAATTTCAAGAAATTTGCCGAACGTAGTAGGATTTCTCCGTTGCAACACATTTGCTGTAAAACATGCCATGTTTTGGCGACAGCATTTGCTTCATAGAGCGCTGAGCGTGACAGGCGTAACGGGCTCATTACGACCAATAAGCAATGAATCTATCATAATAATCTCGCCTCCAATGACTTTTCGATGGTAAATGGGATGCTATTTAACATAATCTGCTCGTTTTAAAGCCTGACGCCATGATGTCGAAACACCCATGGAGTTGAGTAGAATAGATGAGCGTGGTTCCTCAGACGTTCTCCTCGCAAGACAGCTCTCTCACTTTGCTATCGCACCTCGATTTTAAGTCGGAAATTACGACTTCAACTTATGGCTTTATTCATGCCAGTTTTGTCATGTTGGTGTCACAAGCTGGGGTATAACTTAAGTTCCAACGCAACTTGGACGACTGCGAAGATGCGTTGGGGAATGCGAAGAAATGTGTCTTGATTATTGAAGTGACAGCTTTAGGACGTGCAGAATGTTGTAGCATATGATTTTGATGTAATATTTGATGCAACTGAGTGTTAAAAGCATTCAATACACTAAAGCATGAAATTAATGAAAGATCGATATTCAGCGTTTCGCCGAAATGAATATTCTACAATTTAAATTGATTTCTGCGAGTTTACTGATGTTCACACAATTGTCATTTCTAATCTGGTAATATACATAAATTGAGAAATATAATATCAGATTTTTAATTCCTCGATCTTGGGTCAAGAGTTCACAACTGAAACTGATCAAACATAACTGATACCAAAACAAAAACCTTACTAATTTGTCATTTTTAACTTTGAATTTTTACTAATTTCTGACGGGAGCAGAAAAAAAGCTCAATGCAATACTTGATGAATCGACATTTCATTCGTTTTATTACTTTGAATCTACAATATCAGTTCAGTCTCTCCTATTTTACAACAATAATAAATACCAGCAAGTTCATAAAAGTCATGAGTTATTATTAGTCAAGAGTTATTAATGTTGTTTGATATGAAACGATAGCAACTAATTCAAACTTGTAGTAATCGAAAGTGTGATTTAATTTAAAACCAGAATTTGTTATTTTTATATTAAAGAAATTTTCATTTTTTAGTTTTCGCAAATAAGATGAAGTTTAGTTTAGTTTTTTAGTTTTACCATCAAGAGGTGATTGTGAGGCATTGAATGCCTGATCATACATCGTCTTTGTCTTTGGCCATAAATGGTCAATGAATAAATTGAATACCATTACCAATCACCGATCGTTTTCTGCCATCTGAAAACATATACATACGCATAGCCTTTAACGCAACGATTTTAAAGGTATTTACGCTTGACCTTGCTGAGAAAAATGAACATGACTTACGACACTGATTTATTACGCTAAAAGTATACAAGTACGAACAAATACGTTGTGCTATCAAAATCGCTGTAAATTTATGCAGTGAAACATCGGTCTCACCACTCAATGATAATAAGTATCACAATCAGGTAGGTGCAAAGCGTAATTTTTTTATATACCCTACATTTACAGTATTTTGGCGCGCACTTGCAGCTACGGTTCTGTTTGACGTGCATATTCTCGTAATAAAATGAAAACTTGACTGTGCATCCGATATCCACTATTCAATTTGTGATAGGCTCATGCTTCCAGTAGAAATTTATAAATTTATCTACAGAAGTCATGTTCATAACATTTTTTTGCGGTTGAAATTACAATTTAACCCGAAGTTGTGTCCACTGACCACCTTGACAGGAAGAATATTTTTTCATTGATTTTCATGGTCTCCACAGGATGTGTCAAAGATTTGATTCGTGGTTTGAGGTAACTGTTATACATTATAACGTACGTGCCACATAGTATCTAGATCTGCTCGGCCTGTACGGCGGTAAACAATCTCGAAGCCTATGAAATTTTCTCTTTGTCAATCTAGTATCTTTATTGAACATGCAATTAGCATGAACATGTTTCATCATGAAGCTGATGGGACATTTAACATGAACTGGAAGGTTGCTACAGATCCAAAATATGTGCATTTCCAAGAGACGGACGAGGCACAATGATTGATCTTTCACGAAAATAAAACGGCAATAATTATTCATTGACGGCGCATTGCATGTATCGCAATAGCAACAATACTTGAATATTTATTCATAATGACCTGTTACAGCAATTATCAAATGCCATAATTTTTACGACAGCACTTTTACGATCTTTCAGTTTTAATTTAAAGGAATTTCGTCGTCAGTATTGCATGGTTGAAATTGACGTAGACTTCAATAGACTTCAACTTTATTTTGCCTAAAAATTTAGCTTAAATGTATCAATAACACGGAAAATTTTAATTCCATCTCAATCTTTCAATTGGCCGAGAACTTATGCACTTTTTCAATAACTCTAAGTCTTAAACCGATAGTAAGACTTAAGTGAAGTTTAATTGGAATTTTGAGTGTTGCTGCGTAAGCAAAGGAAATTCTCACTGCAAATGTTATTTAAGAATGATGTTTAACTATAATGAAAATTATTGAATGGCTAATTATGATAAGTTGCGTTCAAGCTAAAATTTTTACTTGTCCTGAGCTTGTTTTTCCATTCATGGTTAATGAAAAAAAATCGAAAATTTTTTCTCATTTATTACATTAAATAACATCGACAAATAGATAATTGGTGGATCGATATGTTCATATATACAAACACCAAAAAATAATTCTAGGAAAGACAATTAAATAAAAGAGCGATACAAACATAACTCTTTTAGAAACCAATAAGTAAAAACAGTTAACAAATAATATCCGTAAAATAATTTATTGAATAATTATCAACTAAGTCACTGATCTATTCGGAATTTTAGAGCAAACCTAATGACAGCTTCTCATTTAAATGGAATATAGAAACATAAATTGTCCTAAAAATGAATGAGCAATTGCAATATTATTCGAAATAGTATTAAAGGTTTAAATTAAATTGAATTTCGCGTTTAGCTCGAGAAAAATGTTTTTAAGTTACATAAATTTGATAATAATGTGTAGTAGTACATCCAATAGAATTTGATTGTATCAAATAACAGCATCAATTGATTTTGAAAATCTGCAATCGACCAATAATTCATAATTTTTTCCCCAGCCTTCACGAATAAGACTATTCATTCGTGAAGCCAGCATTATGTTTCGGTGTTCAATCAAACCTATAAGACGAATACTTATTAATTTTCTAATAAAATTTCCGCAGCGTTTTGTCCAGAATAACTATGTTGAATATATATGAATCAGAACTACATTAAAATATTTGGCAAATTGCATCTATTTTCTACGGCCTAACATTATTCAGCTATAAAAGATAGGAATCATAATTTCATAAACATGTACAGCTAGAATATTCACACGATCTTTCAACGCTTCATTTTTCGAAATACACGAAATACATTGTGACATTTCCGTGGATTAGTGGCGGAACTACGCAGCTTTTTTTTCAGTTTATCTAACACAAACTGGAAAAATAGTCGGAGTTTCGGTTCTCGAAATATCACACGAGTGGAATAAAAATGTTATTTTTATGTCACCAGAGAAGCGTCTCAAAAGGCTTATCAGGTAATCGATCTTTTTTGATTAATGAAGAGCTGAAATGTATAGGATTCGCCACTTTTCACCTAAGACGGTATCAGGAATTATAAAATATACCTAAGTATTTTCAAGAACTCATCTTTTACTTCATTCCAGTGAATGAATACGTCAGGACGGTTCAACCAAATTTTCTTTCGAATTCATTATTTAAAGTTAATGGATTTTCAATAAAATGGATTTTTTCTTCAAATGTTTTATCCATTCCGCCATCCTCTTCCATCAAGTTTCTTCACGATTCGTCCAAATTAGGAATGCGGGCATTTTTTTGCGTCCATTACTACCACTGAACGTTTTAAATTAATCTAAAGATAAAAGTCGGTTAACATTCATTGGGATTCATCACAAACATTGCTACCACTTTACCCAGCAGGGAGGCAGGTTTACAATTGTGGGGGCTTTTTTTCAGTACCAGTGCCTTCATGAAGGCCACTACCGAGGTAGGCTAACGTTTGTGGGCATCTTCGGCAGCTCTAAGATCTTCATGAAGGCCACTACCGAGGAAGGCTTGCGATTGTGGGCGATTTCAGCAGCTCTGTGATCTTCATGAAGGCTGCAACCAAGACGGTCTTACGGTTGTGGGCATCTTCGACAGCTCTACAGCCTACATGAAGGCCACTATACCGGGCAGGTTTCAGATTGTGGACATCTTCGACAGCTCTTCAGCCTTCATGAAGGCCACTACCGAGGCAGGCTTACGATTGTGGGCATTTTGGGCAACTCTCGGGCCTTCATAAAGGCGGCCATGTTGACCGAGGCCTCGAGTAAGGTTTTCTCAGATATACTCGGTGGTAAGCTGCTCGCCAGGCTCGTCGAGATGCTCGATGTGATCACTTTAGCGTTCTCGACATCGCGCTTCAACTCCTCCATGTCGCGCTTCAACTTCGCTCGTCTGTTCTGGAACCACGTGATTACCTGTCATGACAGATAAGAATATTGTTAATTAAGTCAGTTTGCTGGTGTTCACTGAAACATAAGGGTAATGAGATGGAAAATATTGATATTTGATTCTAAATGTTGTGCGTATGTAGATGACCTCTCTCTTCTGTTGAGGATTGGTGCAAAAAAATAATGGTGCTGCTCAATGGTTGCAGGATATTAGAAAATACCGAAAATATTCATTTATACTTGAATTTTGCTTCATAAGTTCATGGAAATGTTATCTAGGTACATATTGTATCTGCATAATATTAGTGTTGTATTGGCTAGTCGATATTAAGGATCGATTATTTTCAGCCATAGGGTTTTTAATTTCTACAATAAAATCGAGCTATATATTCTTATACAAACAAATTACCTGTGCATTACTCAGGCCAAGGTTCTGTGAAAGATCATCTCGGTCTGCTGGCGATAAATATTTCTGATAAAGAAATCTTTTCTCAAGCTCAAAAATTTGGTTATTTGTGAAGGCCGTCCGACTTTTTCGCTTCTTCTTGGGAGGCTGCCTGTTATTGAAGAGGCTCGAAGCATCTGTAAACAAAAACAATTTCAGAAATTAGTTTTGGTCGTGAGTAATATAATAAATATATAAATATAAAATTCTAATATATTATTATTAAATTTAAAAAGTAATTATTAAAAAGAATTAACTAATAAAAAAAGTTTATTTTAAAATTAATCAATTATAAATTTAATTAAAATTAAATTAAAAAAGACCACACCAAAATTGGAACAACGAGACATTTATGTCTCACAATATCATGATGAGACGGTAAACTGGAAAAAAAATAAATTTACCCAAGTGGACTACTATTGAAAAAAAGAAATGTTTCCCACGAATCACCAATTTTTATTTTACCGAAGTCGTAATGAATTGAATGAGAGGTTCGATATTCAATAATTCGAAGCAATTCCTCACACGAATAAGGATGCATGTCAAGACTTCATGCTTGGTCCGGCATATTGCATGCTTGTATTTACCATCAAAATTTCACCGCAAGCCTGCAAAGGTTTTACCTGCAGCATTGCGCTGTTTTTGCGCTATTCAGACGCGAGACAAATGTGTTTTGCCGTGGCAATCGACTAAATCTCATAGCCTTTGCAATCTCCTGCAACGACTCAATCCTCCAATATTTACGGCTCCATTAGACCAGATTGTCTAGATTACGCAAACTGAAAGAATAACCTCTCATAGGTCGTTTGCATAAACTGTGGCCAGCACAAAACCAGGGCTGCTGTTTTCATAACACATAAAGCAAGAATAATTCAAGATTCGTTCCAAGAAAGGACCTTTGCAACTGCGCGATTGAATTGCCGGTTGCTACGCAGCGTAAATCTCGAGCAGTGAAAAAGGGAGACCTGAAATGGATGATATTTACGAAAACTTGGAACATAACTCAGAATCTGACAGGTACTTTATATGGCCTTGTTATTCTCTGTGTATTTGTTTGGGTAATTGAAGAGGACGTTTGATGAAGGGTTCATGTACGATTGTACGTAGTAGTTGATGCGATATAGAATGCCAAGAGGTGAAGAACATGTATGTTGCCTTCAGTTTTGAAATAATGTGGAATCATCAGAAATGAAAAAAATACGTTGCTCCCTTTGTTCCACATGGGTCTTAAAACTGACATATCATTTAATAGAGCCAGACTAGTAAGAAAGTATTAAATTTCTGTTATTTATAGGAACGATTAAAAAAGTTTCAATTGGTGAACAGATGTCATGCGGAAAAAACGCAGAACGTTAATTAAAGAAATTTGAATCTATAAACTTCGCACATATGATGGTTATTTTATAAGAAAATCTATGTAATCGTGCAATATTTATCATTTGCTTCTACTACTGACTTTGTATTGCCTGGAACTTTATGTCACATTTCTACCGATAAAGAAGGAAGCAATTCTGGCGACCATTACGAGACTTGATATCGTTTCCTTAACGGCCACACACACCAACGATAATGGAAGCGCCTGTAACTGTCGATAGATCGTCAGGATATGAACAGCCGACTATAACTCACCCGCGAACAGCGTGCCATAACCACAGTGGCCGCCATATCGTTCCGACACCAAGCTAATTCCGGTGCCGGTAATTGTGGCAACCGCCAAACGGCGACTTTGCGTGCAAACGACTTGGTGACAAAACCTCTGGCAACGGCAGCGCAGTGCCGCAACAAAACTGTACGGTGAAACGCTCTGTTTGCTTTTTTAGGTATCATTCCGGGACGAATAAGCTGTATTTTACGGTGTGTACGTAGATGGATCGAATGCACAAAATTTCGACGAGAAATTGTGAATTCATATTTATTGTTGCAGTTTTTTAAAGAGGTTATTAGTACAACTAAACTAAGGATAAAAATAGTATTGAGGTCAGTTGGACAAGTTAGATAACAGATCATTTGGAAAATTCAGAGATCGGAGAATTGTGGGCGAACAAAATTTGAAAGTTTTAACGTTCTTGTCTGCCATTCTTGAAATTCATCAGTTTTATACAGAATGAGTGAGTGGAATTAGTAATTCGAGTTGTATTTTTTACAAACAAATACATAAGTTCAGTAATGAACACTGAACATCGTCTCGGTATATATTACGCTTGCGTAATTTTTGCAATTTTTCTCTTCCAATTGCGAAAAAAACAACCAGTATAAGCTCGTACGTCATTCATATGTTTTTAAGCGAGCGGTTCCAATATGACGCTTGTCAATATATGAAAATGTTTAAAACATTATCAGTCGATCGGGTCATTTGGTATACAGTAATATTTTGATGCAATTAGGTAACACTTATAGGGGTTTCTCATGTATATCATAAAACTTTTTTTGCATTAAATGTGTATGAAGCTTTAGTATCCTCGAAGCAATATCTATAAGTACAACAATGACGATCCGGTGTTGCGAGAACGTTTATTATTTGCTGGTTACTGAAAAAATAGTATGAAATACATGGTGACGCATCATGCGAATTGTGTTAAGGAGTATTAATACAGGATGTTTAAACTTAATGACTTTGTTGACCAAGAATATATAAAATTTGCTAGAAATCGAAGCTTGAAAATTTGGTAGAAATAGTGGCGCAAGGGGTCCCCTATATGGTCGTTCTTCTGTGGCGATCGATAATAGGAAAATTTGAATATTTTAATTTATTTTCCGTGAGCTTGTTCACTTAATACAGCCGATTTACTTCGGATGCTTGAGAAGAATCAAATCGGTTCGTCACACTATAGAAGCCTCAAATTCAATATTAAATATTGGCAGAATCTCATATTTCATTTCTCACTGTTGGTACTCTGATGATTAATTAAATAGTAGCTTTTCACATTCAAGTAGCCTTACACATCGCTTGTCTTTTTAATCATTAAGAAAATTAACGGGCTGTTTATGGGAGCTGTTTCTTTACACGAATTGGCTAAGTCGTTGATTTAAGTTGGATCGGAAAAAATAATCCACTATCAAAAAACAATGTTGCATCAGGTAAATTATGAAGATTTTATTAGCAAGCAAAAAAACTAAATTGAAACCTGAATTTTGACGTAAAATCGCGAGTGTCAAGTCAGAAACTGAGGCTAATTATTTCAAATTTGCACGAATGGCTTGCAGCCTGCGACAGAGTTCAGGCATATTAGACTGTACCTCGATCATGTTCGAGTTAACTCGTAAATTACCGTCAAACTGACACTTCAAGCGCCCCGTGGACCTTAATTCGGCTTTCGTATTGCTTTAATGACAGGAACGTGTACTTCCGAAATACGAGTCAGTTTTACCGATGAATGCTTGAGAATTTTTGAGTCACGACACTTGGGTCGTGACGAGAGACTTTGAGGACGGTTATCGAACGACGTCGACTTGAACGCTCGTCTTTAATTATCATAGACTTTAGGTGTCGTCTAAAAGTGTTGCTAACCGTTGTCGTCTGCCTAATGAAGGGGTCTGGATACGGCTTGATGGCTTCGGTGAATTGAGGAACGGCAAAAGGAAATTTCGTGACAGTTTCATGCCGACACGGTGAGGTTACAGGATATTTTTTCGTTGCTGATTTTTGGGATAGGAGGAGAAATTGGTGGTGAAAATGACAACTTGAGGATAGGATTCGTCATCTGTAGGGATGGAGAATGAAATATGCGTGACTTCAAATGACGCGTCTCTGATGGAAAAGTTTATATTGAACTATTAATGAGCACTCGCTGGAGTTACTGCAAATTTTGAACACAAGGCAGAAGAAAGATGCCCACTGCATCAACTTCTTACATCTGAATCTTTGTTTTTATTATTCTTCTAAACATAAATCCTCTTACTTCATATCCAATTCATAAATTACAATGAATTGCTCTCCTGCATGCATGGGAAGGAACTAAAAACGAATTATGATGCGCGTATCATTCAAAACATTTCGTATAGCTCACGTAAATGACATTCATTCTGCACGGAAAAAAAGCTGATAAACATTTAGTTCTTCGTGAATGCGAAAGTGAAATTACTATCCATAGTAAAAATTTCTTGTTCACATTAGAGATCATCGTGATTAAATTTCGGCTGAATACTTCTGAATCTCGAAAGAACGGGTGAGAATTTAAAGTCGCAAAGGAAGCAGAACTGGATTGACGAAAATTTAATGCCGGAGTCCATTAATTCTAAATGAATGAATAGTTATGCAAATGAAGACTAACAACGTAGAAAGCCATTTACTGGAACAATTCATGCACGAATCAAATGATGAGATGCTTGTATTGAATGCGAGGAGATACGGTATTAAATATTAGTATTATTTAATAGCTTTTCTTAAGGTATCACAATCGGATACGGGTTCGCGCGATGTCATTAATACTTGCCTCTCGATCTGCTGCATGCGAAAATTCTCGTCAGGTGTGATTTAAAAAAAAACTAGTTAAATGCTGATAGCAATTTTTCGTTATGTTGATAAAAGGTCCATGACCCTCGCGATTTATCTGTGCATGATTTTTTCGTTATGAGTAGATAAAAATTTTGGCTATCATTTTCGTCAAAATGTAAGCCACGTGCTTCGAGAAGAGTTTATGAAGAATTTGAAAATAATATGAATAATATAAAGAAAAGTTTAGGAAGAGCTTGAAAATGTTTCACAAAAATAATAACTTGTGATAATTGGAAACCGTCAATTCCGGCATTTTGCGAAATCGAGCGTTTTCAATTGAAACCTTGAAATTTTAAGAAAATACAAATTCGAAGTTATTTTATTTTCTGCGTTTGCAAGAATATGAATTGAATCATTCCATCATAAATGTAAGTAAATTCCCGAATCTAAATCCAAAAATATAGTTTTATGTTAAGTTATTTGTTAAAATCCATCAATGAAATTTCGCATACTCGTATATTAAACGATGGCATATATTTGAAATGTTGACGAGATGAATAAACTTCTCCAATAACGATACATATGGACCTCCTCATTGATTTGTAAGAAATGGGAATTTAAAATATGATGTTTTATCATGTTTTTGTCACTGATATAAAAAAATGTGTAAAAAATTGTTTTGAAGCATAACATAAAGTTTTTTATATTGTTTAAAAAAATTTTCACAAAATGCATAATTTGTGCTTTGTTTTAATGTTCCTTTGGTGAAATATCTCAATAGTTTAGTGAGCCACAAGAATGTATAATTTTAGAGACATTCGCTTTGTGATAATGGAAACAGGTAAAGTTATTTGTAATTTTTAGCTTTAACTCTGTTATTAATTGTTTGGTTAGAATATTAAAATCTGTATCAGCGGTGCATCGGATTATGTTTTGCTAACAGCAATCGAAGAGAAAAAGTTTTTATGCCGTTATTCAAATGCTATCCTCAAAAGCTCAGGCCGGATTCATGCCTATATATCCATAAGACTCATGATCGAGGATCTGAAAATTTTTGCCCGTCACATCTTACGGGCTTTTATTTTACCCGAAAGTTATATGCACCTTGTGACTCAATAAGTTACCGTGTAACACGGTAACTTATTTAATCTCAATAGTCAATTAACGTAAGATGATCCTAATTAATTAAGAAAACTCAATGATATCAAATCCTTCAATGAATCGACGAATGACCGTAAACATTCAAATTGTTTTCTGAACTATTCTCTTCAATTGGGATTACTTTAATTGAACTGCTGACAGGTATAACGGACAAGTGTACTGTCGTTTGAGGTGAATAACAGAAACATAGTTTTGAAGTGAAGGCTCATTAATATTACTTGATACTTCATTTTTGCTTCATTGCTTCGTGAATATGTGAATTTTCATTTATTGGCAGCTAGAAAGGTGTATGCTGCATTCTGTAGTGTTTACAATACATTTTTCTCAGTGGATATATTGTTTTGAATAGGGTTTGTAGCTGGTATTAGTGGATTCTATTGCATTTCTATGATGATGATGTCGAAATTGATATTATTTTTAATTTGAATCTAGCTTCAAGAGAGCTTTGCAAGTAAATGCTTATTTTGTTTTATTGAATCAACGCTTGGTGCGTTATACAAATTACTCGTAGTTTAAGTATACAGAATTGAATACATACGATTCGTCATTAAAGCATTACATTATGCAGATTAATCAATGGTCTTCTTCACAGAGTTCCACAATGCAGTTAACTTGATACTAGCAAGACGATAATATTTAGTTTGATTGCTTTTTCTCCGCGATTTAATTGGTCCTCAGACGAGCAACGTGGCTCTTTTTGATAGCTGATAAATTAAGTGGTGAAGTGGCGCACAAACTTAAATGTTGATGTGGTGAACTGAAATGGTGAGGTAGTGCGCTGAAATGATGATGTGGTGTACTTAAATGGTGATCGATGTGGTGAACTGAAATGGTGATGTGGTGCGCTGAAATGGTGAGGTGGTGTACTTAAATGGTGATCGATGTGGTGAACTGAAATGGTGATGTGGTGCACTGCAGTGCATTTTAAAACAAGGTGTACTGGACAAATTTGACGGAAGTAACATTGCAATGCACATATAGAAACGGAAAAGGCAATCTGCATGAAATCAATCAATTAAATCTTGCACGTTTTATTCTGTTTATATTTTATTTCACAGCTAGCAAAGGGTAAAACATAATTTGGTTATAAATTTAAACTATATATATACCTATCTTGTAGACAGTTTTATATGAAAATTATAAAGAAAATCTTTAATTTAGAATCTAGGTTAGTCTCACTGTGCATATGTAATGTTCTATGTAACTTAAACCTCATTATTATGCTGAAGTCGAATAAAAATATTAGTCGAATCCCTGAAGACAATTGAGTATTTTGTTGCATATATAATATATGTTATAAATAAAATTCCTCACGAGGCCGTACGCACCAAATAAACTTATACTAATAATATTAGTCCAAACGTCCTGACAAGTGTGTTATTTTTAATTTGGAAGTGCAAATATATAATGAATAGTATTCTGACTTACCTGTTTTATCTTCCTTGTTGAGATTATCAAGAGTTTTGTTGGTCATTTTGAAGAGAGCGTCTAATGCACCTCCTTTATCGTTAGTTTTGCTTGATTTAGTTCCTTCGCTTTTATCTTGATGATTCCGTTGCTGAATTTTTTCACAACGCGAATTCTCTTCTCGGTCCCAAGGCCGTACGATCTTTACTGGAACCGATGATTTCCGTCGAGAGGGTTTATAAGATAAAATATCAAGAATAGAAAAAGATCGTAAGCGGTTGTTTTTCTCCTCCTCGAGTGACCTTTCTATTCTCTGCTGGCGTTCCTCAGCCTCTGCATCCTCCTGCAATTTTTTCGTGGGAGAAGAGCAACTCTGTCGGGAGGCGTCCATTGAACATGTCAGTGGAGAAGGAATGGGAGGATTGGACGAACTAGAGTTCGGTCGTCGCTCTGAAGGAGTTGGGGATGTGCTCGACATGGCTAACCTCTTTAATGGTCTAAAATATTCATCATCGGATAAATAATTAAAAGATTCTGTGTGAACTGACGCCGATGACAGAGCCGGGGAATGACCTCCTCGAGAAGTCGAGGGAGAGTGAGGTTCTACTTCAGTGTCCACGTCACCATCGTCTTCCGTGGAGAAATGCGCTTCTGCGCTCATATCCATTGGGGATCCGTCCGAACGCTTTTGTTCATCCTCACACCCAACACTTATTTCACTATCACTACGACTCGGTGGTCGAATGATGTCTTCATCCCGAAGTCCCGGGGTCGACATATCTTGAAGCCGTTCGTTGACACTTTCTGTTTTCATTTCCATTCCGAGAATAACAAACGAAAAGTCACCAAATCCGATTCATGTAGCTCATACAGCAGCCCTTGGGCTCACTCGTTAACAGAGTTATACAGAGGAGACACGCTTTTGAAACACAGGCGACAACACTGTTCAGTTAGCGTCACTGCTGATATCAACACACGATACTAGTGTCAAAACTGGCGCACGCTCGCTAGGTTGTGGCTGTCGGTTCGTTCAGAGGTATACACCGACAGACCGGGCATCCAATATCTCCTCTCGAGACGGCGGGCACCGACAGACTGATGCTGTGATAACTTGGGTCCACTGCGACAGATGAAGATGTGCCAACTGGTACACTGCGTAATGATAGAGCGGCGGTTCACACACTTAATGGTCTACTTTCAAGTTTGCCGACAGGCAGCCACACACTAGGAACGGAGGTGTCCCAAAGGCGGCGCTTCCACATGCTTGACGCCCGAACAAAAGTCGATCGCGCGTAGGTTGGACTCGACGAGTTACCAGGGAGGAGCGGCATCCGCCAGGTCCAGCCATTGGTCGGGGCGTTATCAATTGTCTTGCTAGGAGGAGCGCGCGGCATCTCAAAGGCCGGCGTGAATAGCTCAATTTAGAGGGGAAGTGACGTGGGTAATGGAGATCGTCTAACAGGGCACCTGGTGTCAAATTAGACCTTGGTCGGTGGGGTGGTCGTAGCGTCCGTGCTGGTAACAAACTTCGCTGACGGATGGACTTGTTGGGACAAGCTACTGCTCTCTTGCTCTCCGCGGCCCGAGCGCGGGGTGAAGGGGTGTATTTCCATGCCTTGCTGTGCAGAGAACGCGTGAAGAAGCCATGCGCGGGGTGAAGGGGTGTATTTCCATGCCTTGCTGTGCAGGGAACGCGTGAAGCAGCCATGCGCGGGGTGAAGGGGTGTATTTCCATGCCTTGCTGTGCAGGGAACGCGGGAAGCAGCCATTCCTATAAGACGAATGGGATATTCTTACTCGCTCGGCATTGCAATGAACGCTTTTAATCTACCGAGCATGTAGGGGTATGCTTAAATAGCCTCGCTGTGCCGAGATTGAAGGATCCATACCGGGATGCGGGAAGAGATGTACAGTACCTTAATTGCATCGCTGAACGCGGGCACTAGCTGAGCGCGTGCAAGAAGTAGTTCATTCATCCAATTACTATATTAAGGAACAGTTACTTCTGATTAAATCAAAATAGGAACATAAGCATCTTTACGAACATAAGCATATAGATCATAAGCAAAATAGGAACATATAAGCATCAGAAATGACAGAGCACTTATAGAACAGCGCCAGAGAATGAGAATTCCAGATAATGTTCACCTACAGAAGTCAAAAATACTACTATAAATTGTTCACTACCTACGTTTCAGTCATTATTTTACTACTCTTGTTATTATTTTTACTCGTACCAGTTGAATCCCATTTTCTTATGTAGCGGCGTTTTGTCTTTAAAGAGTATAATGAATCTACCGCCTGTCTACCTTATCCCACGCCACACACCGCTTCTCAAAGAATCGAATTCCTGATGCGAAGTATATTTATTTTTTCATTTATTTGCCCAAGTTTCAGCGAGTTGCTCTATCAGTGATTAGATGATGTAACTTCGAGCTACTGCCTGTGACCAGACAGTTATTTTTTTGTTTATCGAGTCGATCTGTAGTCAATTTGAGGATAAAATTTGCTTCGATCATTACCAGGATTATCAAGATTATCAATTATACTTAACATGTGTCGCAAATCAAAATTATAAAATCTAAGATGCGATCCCATGAAGAAATATTATAGATTAAAAGAAAGTCTAGCGCATTCCAACGTTAACGCATGCGGATTGCACGGCGCGGTGTTGCATGGGGTTCGTTATTAGGCGATCAAAAAAAAATCTTCGTAAAATTTACTGAACTGAACACAGGGGTGGAGTAAATTCCTGAAATATTGCTCGCGTGTAATAATTACAGAATATTTTCAAAGTGAACACTACCTTCAAATTTTTATATATGTAAAATCTACGGAAATTAAGTTTTACGTTTAAATTACCTCGCAGCGTTCTATTGTTTCAAAATTTATCTTCATATCAATAAAAAAATTCATCAGCTGTCAAAAGAGAGATAATCTTATCAGTATTTAGAATATTTACAACATGCAGAATATTTACTATACGCTTAATAATCAATTGCGCGTGTTATATTACGTAACAGTGGATTAAAAAAATTGCGAATACAGTTTTAAATATGTAATTGATAAAACATTAAAGTTATCTGAATTTTAGCAGGCATGCTAAAAAATTCTAAAATTGTTATTAGAGTACATTTTTAATTAATTAAAATTTGACTTCGTAGACATCGCACTTCCCCGGCAGAGTTTGATTGTCAAACAGTAGAATATGTAAATTTATTCTGTTTAAAGGTCGCTGAGATTGAATGTTCCTTTGTCTTAGCACGCAGAGTTATTTTTCATTGGTTCATTCAGTGAATCTTGGGTCATAGATTGCAAACATGACGGAATGATTGAAATACAGGGGTGTTCTTTATTGATCATTACTTCACGCATTTATTGCAAAAAAAATTCTTAACACTTTCATTTTTTATTTAAATTATGATTATGTGCACATTTCTCAAGCGAAATTTTTCTGAAGTTATTTAGGTTAAATACATTCGCATTTCATACATGATTCAGCATTAATGGTAATTTTCGTTCGAGCAAAGGTTTTTTGATACTTTGTATCACCAAGAATTGGTCACTTTTAATAATAAAATAATTCCACTTAAGGCAGGAAAACTTTAAAAAATATCATTGTTAGCAAAATTAATCACAATTTTTATTATAATTCTCGAATTAGGCTAGAGAAATCACCATGCATACAAAGACTTCATTAACTTTTCACGTATACGAACCAAAGAGACGGTAGAATAAAGTGATCGATTTAAATGTATTTACAAATAATCAAGTGTATTGAAGGCACACGTGAGCATGGAGGTCCGAGACACCATATGTGTTCTGGGAAGCCATACAAAAGTTTAACAGACAACCCAGAGCGACTCTCGCCTGAGCTTTTGTTGGCTGCGGCTGAAAATGGAAACATCACAAGAGACCAGAAATGGGCTTCTTGTGAGGGCTTTGGAGGATGACAAGCCCGAGCCAGATGGTCGACTTTAATGGATTAATAAATCGATTCAACGAAACGATGACCAATTTCCTGCTGAACGGTGGTTGACAGCGGGAGTGAGGTGAATTAAGAGGCTTCAAGGCTACGGGACTTCTATTGAGTTCGTCTAATGAATAGACTGTAATTTAGTGAGTTAAAGAGGACTGAGTGCAACTGAAGCTCGAGGAAACTATCGCCTCATTGCCAAACATTTAGTTAGTCTCGTCCGTGGTTATGTTCAAATGTGAAAAAATAGTGAATTCAACTGAAGAAAATCAATATTTATTCCTAACTACGATGCAAATAGTTATTTATAACTTCAATATCAAGATAATTATGATACTAGTGTATATTGATTCAACATTGAATTTGGAAATATAAATAATCGTCACTTAAGGGTTGAAATGTGTTTAATTAAATGAAATAATGATTTAAATTTTACCTCTTTAATTGTTCACTTCCAATTGAGCCATATAGATTCTAAAATGTTAAACGTTTGACGTTAAACATAACTCAGAGTTTCTAATTCTGGAATTGTCTACGATAATTCTAGTGATATACCGTCTCTGACGAAAATTGTATCCATGTCAATGATAATTTTATTCAATCATACATGTGTTTTTACTCCAATATTAAAAAGTCACAAGAGATTATTCAGAGACAAATTCCAAACGTATATTAAATGACTCAAAATTTATATACATTATACCAATATTGCGACTGTGATTATCGATTTTCACAGCGAATAACACGAAGAGACACCGTCCATAACGTGCATTGCCTTCCATCGTTACTACCGCTATTACTTCTTTTGCGTAATATGGGGAGCAGAATTTTTTTTAAATAATATCAACTTTTGGTTTGGTTTAAATAATATCAACTTTTTTTAGAACCACTAACAATCAGTTCAATAGGACTGCTCATTGCTCATATTCATATTTTATTCAAAATAAAATGTTATATGAGAGAAGAACGTAAAAACCGTGAAGTGGAGAACATAAAAGTTGTATATGAGAGGAGCACGTAACGGAGCACCTGGGCTACAAACGGTAACCTATAATCATCAATACAAAAATTTGTTGAGCAATAAATTGTGATTTCAAATTTCTTTCGTCGAATATGCATTGAATTATAATATCAATTATTAACTCATGAGAAGCTATGAAGACAGCATATTAGTTCTACCTACAACATCTGCATTATATTTAATTATCCATGTTCCATCGGGACTATACAGGATGGATAACTACCGTAGGTGCGTCGCAGTCTCCGCTGTAGAACAAAGCAAGCGATTATGTGACCTGCATGAGGTTAGGTAATGGTGGAGGAGCATCAGAATCATGTAGAATTTTTTAAATCATCAATAAAACATTTAGAGAATTTGCAAATTTATTACTTCTCTGTTTGCTGTAGCAGAAAATTGCGTCCCGTAACGGAAGTGAGCAAAACTATCATTCCATGCCTAGCACGAAATACTGGGCAATATGTTCTTTATGATTAGTTGAATTTTGTCTTATAAAATAATTCGAATATGTAAATATTAAATAATTTATAGGAGTAGAACCAAAAGACGATGCTAGAAACGAAAATGAACGTACTCATGAAAAAACTCAATTTCAAATGAAAAAATTTCACTTCTCAAACGCTGGACGTACGTATAGAAATAGCATTTTTCAGTATGTAAAGAGTAAATTTAATTTGATTCAAAAAATAATTCTATTATTAAATTTTGAACCTTTTATTTTTGTTCGTCATATTTAACTTGTTCGAGTTAAAGAGAATTTAGATTATTAGGGAGAAAGAGAATTTCGATAATACATTTTTTGATGAATCTGATATTGAAACATTATCTGATATTGAAGAAAACGGCAGCAAAGTTGGACGTCACATGAGCTGATATGACCACACGCCTCACACATCGTCTCTTCAGCACGCACTGAAACTTGATTTATAGAGGAAAAGATCATTACAAGCGCACTGTCGCAGATCATTTCAGGATCACTGACTCGAGGATTGATGGCTCTGAAGAAGCTTTGATTTAGAGATGTTGTTGCAATTCAAGTGATTTGTGACCAGCGACATAATGCGCAATTGTAGTCTCACTTGACGAAGTGACTTGTGAGAATGACTTCTTTCTGTGCAATGAAGCTCTAGTCGCCAGTTATATAATGGCAGCGATCTACGCTGCATTGTACTTTGTAGCACTTCCAGTAATGCATGACAGGTA